TCTAATGTAGCATGTGAATTCCACAATACAATACCAGAGAAGCCAACCCAGCCTGTGTATCCCACCTGCATACACATAATAAATATTCTATGCATATTTTTCATAAAATCTGTTGGGATTAAAACCGAATTCAAACCTAACTTTAAACACTCACAAACACAATCACAAGACTAACCAATCAAGAACACAGAAGATTTTTACCGTGGTTCACTTATTCCAATGGAATAAACTACATCCACGTTGAGCTCCAAGCAAATTAGGACTCACTGCACTATAAGGATCAACGTATTACAAGTACAACTCAAATCGCACCCAAAATACCTAACTCTCAAATTGTTACAACAAACCCTTAAATCTGACTGTAATTACAATAAGCAAACCCAGAAACAGAATGCTTACACCAGAAGAACTACCTAATCCTTCTACTCACAATATTCCCAAAAGCTGTGACCCGATTAGAAGACTTGATTAAGAGTATCAAACAAGAACCCTAACCCTGTTGCAAAACACGAAAGAGAGATTTCCATTCACTGTTTGTTTTCTCAGATTTGTGGCTTTATATACTTTGACTTGCTAGGCTGGTGAGAGTCATTAGATCAGGCTGAATTCGATGGTTGAGATTCGTCACTTGATTTAACTTTAAAATGACAGTGTACTGACAAGTGCAATACGACACCGTTTAAAGCTTTACTCAACAATCTCCACCTTGAAGCTTTAACTTATCATCAAACCAAGAGAACCAAGAAACCTTACCAGTGCAGTTTCATGACCAATTGCTTATCACAGCTTGATATCTGCAGGTCATTTGACATGCAGTAAGTTCAAGCAGTGCTTGAACTTGGCCGGAGTGACCACCTTTGTTCCCATATCAGCCGGGTTGTCTTCAGTTGGTACCTTTTTCAGGCTGATCACTCATTTCTCCACTAGCTCCCTCACAAAATGGTATTTAACATCAACATGTTTGGTCCGTTCGTGATACACTGGGTTCTTGCACAAGTGGATAACACTTTGGCTGTCTGAATAGACAGTAACTGTACCATCCAGCAGCTGTACTTCTGATAGTAATTCTTGGAGCCAAAGAGCTTCTTTGAATACGTCTGTAACAGCCACATAATCTGCCTCGGTGGTGGACAGGGCAACGATTGGTTGGAGCTGAGACTTCCAGCTTACACAGTTTCCTCCCAAGGTGAACAAATATGCAGTAGTTAACCTCCTTGAATCCTTGTCACCTGCAAAATCAAAGTCTACAAAACCTACAAGATCAAGTGAGTCAAATCTTTTTCCATATTCCAAGCCAACATCCAATGTGCTTTTAATATACCTAAGCAACCATTTGAGGGCAAGCCAATGTTCAAAACCAAGATTTGACATAAATCTGCTTAAGAGGGAAATTACAAAGGAGAGGTCTGGTCTAGTGCTAATCATAGCATACATGACAGACCTAATTACATTAGCATAGGGGATATTTTCCATTTTAATTAAATCTGCATCTATTTTGGGACATTGAGTCTTACTTAACATAAAATGTCCAGCCAAGGGTACAATCACTATTTTAGAACCTGTCGTGCCAAATTTGGTCACCAGTTTTTGTAAATATGAAGTCTGATGCACTTTTAGTTCATTATGCTTCCTGTTTCTATCTATGGTCATGCCTAGAATCCTTCTTGCATGTCCTAAATCTTTCATATCAAATTCAGAGTTCAGTTTTTTCTTTAGTTCTTCTACCCTAGGCTTAGACTTGCAAATTAAGAGCATGTCATCGACATTCCACATATAGCAACAAATATAAAGGCATGTTATCAGAGAGTGCATAATAAAAGCAGCTATCATACATATTTCTATTGAAACCAATGTTGAGTATAAATGCATCAAAACGTTTGTACCACTGCCTAGGGGACTGTTTCAGTCCGTATAATGATTTATGAAGTAGACACACATGATTGGGTAGGTTCCTATCTACAAAACCAGTGGGCTGTCTCATGTAAATTTTCTCATCCAAATTCCCATGCAAAAATGCAGTCTTAACATCCAGTTGTTCTAATTCTAGGTCCTTATGGGCAACAATGGCTAATATGATCCTAATGGTCTTGTATTTCACAACGGGGGAGAATATCTCATTAAAGTCTATTCCCTCCCGCTGGGTGTAGCCTTTAGCTACCAACCTAGCTTTATACCTAAGAGGGTCAGAAGAGGTTATACCTTTCTTAAGTTTGAATAACCATCTGCACTCAACCAATTTCTGGTCTTTGGGATTTGGAACCAAAGACCAGGTTCCATTTACCTTTAGGGATAGCATCTCTTCCTCCATTGCAGCTTGCCATTTTTCTCTGTCTTTGGATTTGACTGCTTAAGCAAGAGAATGAGCTCTCCCGATGGCTGCGTTTTCCAGATCGAGAACGCTACCAAAGCCGTCGATAACAATGGGTACTCTACTCAAATCACTTAGTAACCTTCGATTTTCCTTTACTTCTTGTTTTAATCTCTAGATTGATTTCAAATTTCCATTTCTTTTGCAGGACTGTCACAAGAATTTAATGCAAAGATGAGATTGTTATGGTAAAAATTGTCATTTGATGGTGATTTTGCTTTGATTTAAGGGAGTGGAGAAGCTAATTGCGTCGAAGAGTTCTAATAGAAGAATCCATTCTGTTCATCGACATTTTGGCATGGTACTCTCTCGTTCTTGTCTTGATTTGATCTTTTGTTCACTCATATTTTTACTAGTAATTTCCATGTTTTCTCTTACTTTTTTATGCTTCATATGTATATTTTTAGCTTGCGAAATAGACAGAGAGTGATATAACATGAGGTTTGAATGGTTGCCAATTATGATGTTAGAGGTTTATAGTTAATTTGAAGTAAGATCCCTCTATTAGAAGGTTAAAGTAAAGTGAAAATACCAAAAAGTTATTAAAATACATAAAAGGAAATCTCTGTTTTCTCATTGACATTGTTACGTGGGTTCTAAGGAAGAAAGATTTCACTGGGAGGTGCTGATGAGAAGTAAAGCTTTATCTTTAATTGTTCTCGTACTCTTAAGTTGATTTATTCTTTTTATTTTTCCCTGATTCAATAAATGTAGAACAATAAGCTCACTCTTACTCAAAATCATTTATTAATTAATACGTTGTTGTTGGTGATGCCAACTATGTTGATTTGATTTGATTAATTATATAGTTAAGATTTTCAAATTTTGTAATTTTTTGAGCAGATGGTTAATCGATATTGAATTACCTTCTATCCTGTGCTTTCATGTCTTGTTAAAGTTTTGAATGCTAGTGTTGTGATGCTGATCCTCTCTACAGGTATAACTTTATCATGTCTTCCCTATTGTGTCTCCGTTAGTTGCTAGGATATTATCCTTATCTGAAATTTGTGTAGGTGGTTTATGTACACTTGTCATTTGCTTATATGGTGTACTGGAAAATTTGTTTTGCTTTGTTAGTGGTCCCAAGAAAGTTTGGTAAAATTTTTTCCAATAGCAAGACACATAAGTAACATGTTGGCTGGCTGTCCTCTTGCGTTGGAACCCAAATTTCTTTATATTAGTCTTCTCCAATGCATTTCTTTTTTAGCCTGAATATACCTATGATAATACTTTGCATATTTCTTGAGGTTTCATTCGTGTTTCGTTATTCTTAGGTAGACTTGAAATACCTTGTTTAACTCTTGTTTGTTTGAGTTTGGATCTGGAACATGGTTCCATGGTTGTTCTTTGGAGGAGTTTAAGCTGCTGAAGCTGAAGTGCACATTCGTCATTGAACCTTGAGAAGAGCTCAAGGATGACTAGGTGGTCTTGTAGAGTAAAGCTAGCTATGGTGGTTTGATGTTTTAACCAAAGAGTGAAGATTGAAGTGTTGATTAAATAGAGAGTGTTTTGCAATTGATACTTGTCTTTGTCTTTGGCTTTGTAATTGAACATATAAGTATTTCATAGTGGATTAGCTTCTTCTAGACTTGGTCTTATGGACGTAGGCAAGTTGCCGAATTATGTAAAAATGAGTTGTGTTCTTTATTTTCTATCATAGATGATTTGCTTATGTTGATAATCTTTTAAACAACTTATAAGCACAAAATGAACAAGTGAACCCATTTCGCTTAAGTTTTAACAATATGGTAAAGGATTGAAATTTCATCACTCACTTTTGGCATAGTTTTAATAGTAAGCATGGTCAAATAACTTAAAAGCTCCAATATGAGACACAAGATAGTACAAGAACAACAACACTAGCGAATGAAAACAAAGTAGCACCACAAATCTTATATATCAGAACCCTTGGTTTCGCACACTACAACATTACAAGATGCAGAATTATAGACAAACATTAAGTATCATTTTTGTATCACAACCTAAACCTATTATTGCTGGGGAAATTTTAATACGTTTAGGAGAGCCATGACTTGTTCAAAATAACCGAACCAAGCAATTTAACTTCTGCTTCAATGATGCAAGTGTCATCCACCAAATAACCCTGTTTCGGATCTTTCAATGTATCTAACAACATAAATTCTGGAAAACCCAAATCCTTGTCTATTGGATAAAACATATGGTCTTCAACTGGAATCAAAGAAAAAGCACATGTTCATAAGATCAAATTTCATGGGAAAAACATTCCATAGAAAAAGTAAAATCATTAACGGTTCCCATTGAACTAACCTTTTCCTTCAATGTGAGGTCCATCCCTTTGATTTTTGACACGCAGAATGAAATTTACAAATAATTTAGCATTAAAAGAATGATCATAAGATAAATAAATTGAAATATTTTTTCCCTTGCCCTCCTTATGTCCATTAGGGAAGAGAATAAGATACCTGCAAGACATTAATCAGCGTAAGCTGTAGGCAAATATATAGCGAAGAGAGGTAAATATATATTCAATCAATGCCAAAATCAGTCATGCATATACAAACCATTTGTATGGTCCGAATGATTCAGAAATGTATTTTTTATTAGTCATGGTCGTAAATTTTTTAACTATCCAGGTATGATAATGGGTAGTAGGATCTTCCATCTTTGATAAAAACTCCCCCTTAAAAGTATTTTTGATAACAAAAACCTCTGCACCAAAGACACAAGTGTCTTTGATAAGGTATCCGTTTGATGGATTAAGAAAGGTTTCCAGGTCCAAGAATTTGGAAAAGCCGCATTCTGTCTTCATTGAATGGAAACGCCTTATTCTCCCATCTACATCAGAAGAAAAAGAAAAAGAAAATAAAATATATATACGAAAGAGCTAGAAAAGATAAATGTTGCTGAATCATATGTAGAGAAATAAGCTACCTTCAATTGTAACATACTTGTCCTGAAGCTGATCAAATACAAAAAATTGAAAATCACATTGATTTCCCACCCAATAGGGAGAGAACTCATTTCTGCCAATTCTAAGTAAATAGATATATGACCTTCCCCTTTATTCTCTTTGTCCCCATTTGGATAGAGACACAATTTCCTGTAATTGTAGATGAAATTCAAAGTGTTAAAATAGAGATCTAAATATGTATTCTTATCTATAATAATAAGTCCCCTATTTGGCTTAATTCTTCAAAAAGTTATATACAATCAAACAAAGTAGATATTGTCATTAAATAAAATACCATTTGAAGCCCCCAGAATCAAAATCGTTTGAAGTGAACTTGTTTAAATTCTTAACAGATGAGAAAGACTGAATTTTTAATAAGTAATGACTAGGCGGAGCATCCCTTAACACTGGAAGAAGATACAAATTTGTTAGATAAGGAACACTGCATGGTTAATCGTGATAAAAATAAATAAATAAATAAATAAATAAATAAATAAATAAATAAATATATATATACCTCTTAAGACGACTCCTTCTCTTGAGTTCTTAAACTCCATATATATATCCAATTGCAGAAATAATTAATAATTAATTGGATGTTGCCTTTTGTTTCTTCTTCCTAATTAGGTATAACTGACTTTTATAATATAATTGTTGGATGTTTGATGCCTTACAAATTCAATCACCCAATATCTGAAAAGAATAAAGTAATTTCTTGATATTACATCCACAAATTTTTACTTCATGTACATATACCTACCTTTCCTTGTAACCAATGAGTTCCTTTATTCTTTTATCAAGGTTATGTTAGTAATGGCATATCAAATTAATTTAATCTTTGAAATCTTACTTTTAGATCCACTATAGGAAATTTAATAATGTCTATACCTATTGAGTATCAAGCATCGATTATGGTTTTGGATGATTGGATCATCATCCAATGATTAGATAAAATTATGTTCTAACCAATTATAAATATGAAAGTAATAATTGACAACAATGTATCCAAGGAGTTTCAAATAGCGACTTTAATCTGGAACATACAAGTGCAAAATGTTTGTTTTAAAGAATTGTATTTTCAATTCATTGATTTTCACTAAAGAGTTACAATCTTTATATAGGGAGAATACAATCTACTAAATCTCCTAATTATGTCAGTTACATATTATACAATATATTGCTTAACGAAATTAGGAGATTACTTTATATCTAGAATATTATGAAAATCGTAAGCCTGACATAATTGGAGGATTACAGAATAATTAGAAGATTTACAGAATATTTAGAAAATCTCAACACTCTCCCTCAAGTTGGTGCCTAGATGTCACATAGTGGCTACAAATGATGAGGACTGTTCGACATCTTCCTTCTTTTCCACAACAACATCAGTAGATTTTCTCTTTAAATTCTTCTTCCTTTGATCGCGATTGTGATCGCACCAGTCTGGATATCCAACAAATTCAAAACATTGGCTCTTGCTATGACCAGATTTGTTGTAGTGAGTGCACTTCTTATCACCGTTGTTGGGTTTGCTGGATTTTGTCTGTGCGTGCTGGCTTCTATTATTAGCTACCATTGCTGAAGTGTCAACGTTCCCTGATTCTCCCTTCAAGGTAATATGACGTATCGCCTCTCGTCGAACCTCCAAGTAACTTGCTTCTAAATTTGGAACTAGGTTTTACGTAGAATTTCTCTACGGATTTGTTCAAACTCTCCATCTAATCCTACAAGAAATATGTGTACTCGTAATTGCTCGACAAATTTATGATATGCTATTATGTCATTGGGATCCTTCATGACCACTTTATTGTGCTAGTTTAATTCTTGAAATATTTCCACCAACTCTCTATAATACACAGAGAATGTGGCCTTACATTTTGTTTAGCGGTAAAGGCTCTCTAATGCAACAAGAAGACAAGTAACTCATCACTTCCATCATAAAAGGCTTTGGAAAGAGCACTCCAGATTCATGAGCAGGAAATAAGCATAGGTAATACTTCGTAATTTCAAGAGACATGGACATCAGCAACCACCACTTGAATTTTTGGTTTTTAGCATACCATTTTTCATACCCCTCATCTAAATTTTTTGGTGGTTGTTTCTTTCCACGAATATAGGAAAGTTTTTCCCTCTTAGTAATGTGCATTTCCATGAGCCAAGACCACACATCGTAGTTCGATTCGATAAGGGTAATTCCTACATTGAAAGCTCCATTAGATTGAATAATAATAGGTTTTGACCGTGATGGTTTTGCAAATTTTTTTAATTTTTAAATAAAAGAGAAAAAAAAAAAAAAAAAGAGATAAGAGACGAGGCACCCAAACTCTCAAAAAGTTCACCAACGTCTCCTCTCGATAGCAGCAGGTTAGCTTCAAAAGATCAGCATCAAATTGGTGGAAGATGACAGCAGCAGAAGATCGACGACTTCAACTATCAATTTTCTTGGCGTTAGCAACAATCAGTTTTTTTTTGGCATCGGTGTTGGTTTTGGGTCTTTGTCAATTTGATCCTCTTGGCGATCATTGGAATGAATTTGCAATATGATCTTCTTGGCGATGATTGAGCTTCGATAATCAGTTGTCAGGGACGATTGGGTTTTGGTGTCGACTTTAAGACTTCAATGATCTGATTCGTTTGATGACAATTGGACTCTTCCTAACTTCGGTGACAACAAACAGGTACAATGACTGATTTCCAATTGGTGGTGTTGTTTGCGTGGCTGGAGTTGATGGTTAGTATCCAATTTATGTTTAGACAATAGTTGCACTATGAAATTTTGTCCTAATACCTGTGAATTTCAAGACCCTTCGACTGGGACATTGATGGGCTTAGGTAAAGTCAATAGAGGTCTATACTATTGGGTACCTAATGAGTCTCCTAATGTTATTTCTCCTTGCATTACATCCAATAAAATTTCCAATTGTAATACAATGCTTAATAAAACTTCTGTTATTTTCATCAAAGATTGGGTCACAGTGCCACTATTCCTCATTCCAAATGTCAAATATGTCCATTAGCTAAACAAGCAAGAATTAATTTTCCACAAAGCACTTCCACTACCACTCAACCTTTTGCCCTGATCCATCTTGATATTTGGGACCTATATAACAACCCAAATCATGGTGGATCCAAATTTTTCCTTACCATTGTTGATGATTTTTCCTAGGGGACATGAACATTTCTCATGCAATCCAAAGCCCAAACACTTGCCCATATTAAACACTTCTTCGCTATGGTCAACACTTAATTTCATACATCAATCCAACGAGTTAGAACTGACAGTGCTAGAGATTTTTTCAACCATAGTTGTTCTTCCTTATTTTTATCCATTGACATTCTTCATGAAAGTTCTTGCACCTATACCCCACAACAAAACGGGGTTGTTGAAAGAAAACACCACCATCTCTTAGAAGCAGCCTGACCCAAAACACCAAGCTACCATACCTGTCGCATTTTGGGGTGAATGTGTGATCACAGCCATATACCTAATCAACCGCATGCCGACCAGAGCCCTTCATGGAAAAACTCTTTTTGAGATATTATTCAAGAAGTAGCCAACCATTGATCACCTTCGAGTGTTTGGCTATCTCTGTTATGCTGCTACTCTTAGATCCCATGATAAGTTTGGATCTCGGGCCACCTGCTGTATCTTTATGGGCTATCCCACGCTTTAGAAAAGTTACAGACTTTATGATCCAACTAAAGACCGCTTTCTAATATCTAGAGATGTTATGCTTCATGAAGACATATTCCCTTTTGCCAACACTGACTTGGTTCCGTCTTCATCTCCATGGCTATTTTATGAAGATGCTGCTCCCACTCTACCATATCCTCTCTTTTCTATGATACTTGCTCCTAAGGCTCCTTAGCAACCTACTGATACTGATTTTGATACTGATCCTGATACTGATTCAACAGCTATTGACAATATTCTGACAGAGTCCTTTCCTCCAAATTCTCCTCCAGAGTCTCCTGATTTAGTTCCAACATTACCCATCTGCCGAACTACTCGTTAGACTCGGCCACCAATCTGGATATAGATTATGAGTGTCCTACAATATCAGATTCTTCAGGTACTCGGTACCCTACCTCTAATTATGTGAACTATGATTGTCATTCTCCTATTCAAAGAGTTTGTATCAGCCACATTTCCGTCGACCAAGAACCGACTTGTTACTTAAATGCGGTCAAGCATTCCCACTGGCGCCAAGCAATGGCTGATGAACTTGCTACTTTGAATCAGAATCACACATGGGATTTAGTACCTCATCCTACTCATAGAAAACCCATTGGCTACAAATGAGTTTACAAAATCAAGCACCATACCGATGGGTCAATTGAATGTTAAAAAGCCCGCTTGGTAGCTAAGGGCTTCACTCAATGTAAGGGGTTTGATTATCAAGAGAACTTCTCGCCGGTAGCCAAACATGTCACTGTCCGTGTCTTCCTTACAGTTGCTTTGGTTTGCGACTAGCCTCTGCATCAAATGGACGTTCATAATGCTTTTCTTTATGGGGACCTCCATGAAGAAATCTATGTGGACTTCCTCCGGGAATCCACAGACAGGGGGAGCACACAATATGTCGTATGCGAAAATCCTTCTATAGTCTAAAGCAAGCATCCCGACCATGAATGAGAAATTCATAATAGCTCTCATTGGCATAGGATTTGTTCAGTCCAAACATGACTATGCAATGTTTACTTAGCATAGAGGTAAAACATTCATTGCTCTAATTATCTATGTTGACGACATTCTCATTATAGGAAATGATGATGTAGGCATCAAATCCTTAAAAGAACATATAAACAGACAATTCCGAATAAAGGATCTAGGAGAGCCAAAATATTTCCTAAGAATCAAAATTGCAAGATCTCCAACAGAAATATCTCTCAGTCAATGGAAATACGTCTTAGAATTCATTTATGATTACGGGCTACAGGATGCAAAAAATGATCCACCTTGGAAGATCCTACAAACTACAAGAGACTTGTTGGTTGACTGATTTATCTCACAATGACTTGACCAAACATTAGTTATGCAGTTCACATTCTTAGTCAGTTCATGCACGGACCTAAATTATCTTGCATGGATGTAGCAATAAAGGTATTGCAATACTTGAAGGGGTGTCTTGGTTTGGGATTTCTCCTCCCTCGTAACAAAGGCTTAGATATCATAGGACATTGTGATTCAGACTGAGCCACAAGTTCGATGACAAGGAAATCACTCACTGGGTTTTGTATAAAGCTAGGGGGAGCACTTATTTCTTGGAAAACAAAGAAACAATCTACTGTATCCCTATCTTCAGTACAAGCCGAATACAGAGCCATGGCAAAGACTACATGTGAGATCATCTAGATTCTAGGCTTGCTAGAAGGATCTTGAAGTACAAATAAGGGAACCCGTTCCCGTTCTCTTACCTGTGATAACAAGGCTACAAATGACATAGCGGCAAATCTAGTATTCCATGAAAGAACGAAACATATAGAAATTGATAGCCACTTTGTGAGGAGCAAAATACAAGAAAGGGTAATTAAGACTTTACATATTCGTGCTTCA